TCGCGCCACACATCGCACTGTCTAAATGTGCGCACGGGTAATTCATAGCACCCAGCCGTGTGCACAGAGCGGGGGGTGGCGGGTGGCGGCCGCCTGCTTGCCAGCCAATCTTACACTCGACCATCCAGCCGGTATGGCGAGCAATGCAGCTAGTGCCCGCAGTGACGGTGTCGTTGTCGGTGAATGCTGCAGGCCCACGTTGTTACCGTTAGCCCAGTTAAGCGCGCAATGCAAATGCAATACAAAACGATATGTGCGTGTGAGAGTGTCTCGTTATGGTGCATGCGCTTTGTGTGTCTAATGATGCAATCCAACGTTGGGTGGGTACGCGCTGATTACTCAATTCCACCAGACTGGGACACTTTTGAAATGGTGCACGCACAGCTCGTGCAGACTTCACTGCCTACACATTAATTATTGCAAGCGCATGCGCCCATTAGGCGACAGCCGACGGTGCGTTTTTTGGGTCATTAAGCAGAAATTAACATATCGCAATATGGTCTATATTTATTTATCCATTATTTCGGTGCTTGTAATTTATGTGAAAATTTAATGATAACGTTTTTATCTTTTCTTTTCGTCTTATAGCAAAACTCTTCTTACCAATTCGGTTTCGACGTTAAAGACGATGAATTCACCAACTATCAAAACCGCAAGGAAATACGCGACGGTTCGGTGATCAAAGGCAGCTATTCAGTGGTCGATTCGGATGGTTTCATACGTACCGTTAAATACACAGCTGATCCCAAGGAAGGTTTCAAAGCCGAAGTTATTCGTGAGCCCACCGATATTGTTGTGAAGATACCCACCCCTGCTCCTCAACCATTGGTGCGTCAAACTCACAAATCGCAGGATTATGCGCTGAAACCTTCGCAGCAATATCATCAGCAACAGCCACAGTACCATCAGCAATACCAGCAGTAGATGTGTTTAAGCGTGCCGTTGTGTAAGTTGAGCTTAGCTCACGGATAGAGTCGAATTTTGGTAGTCCACTTGACTTACTATATTGTGCTCTAGAACCGTATGCGATGTTCGCGCGTTGTGTGCGGTGTGTGCATAATAACACTTATTTTCATTTTCATCATAGGTTACACTTTATTTAAATCATCCTTTGTTCGAAACATTATATGGATTGTATGAAATTTTAATTTAAGTGCATATAGAATTTTTTAATCGAAATAAATTAAATGAAAAAACATGGAGTGATCGGGAATGTTATATGAAAAGTGGTGGGTTCAACTTTTATCTGCGATTTATTTATTTAGAAACTTAGAATGATCCCATTTCCATGTGAAGGTAATTTGGTAATGTCACGGTCATGGAAGAACTTGTAGATGTTGTCATAAGTGATCCATGCTTGAGCTGACACCACTTCATCTGGTGATCGGTTTAAATATGCAATCAACCTCTCGCAATCGCATTTTACACTGGCCACAGCAAGCTGAAGAAGCACTTACACAACATGGGCCTAGCTTCTTGTTTTAATTGCCGGTTCTACGCCAGGGAGCTGAAAAACTAGAACACCTGCTAATATACCGCACAGCAGTCTGCAGAAGTAGGTTAAAGACTCTGCGATCTATGTTTTCAAATATGGATCACATCGCTTTGTTAGCACCCAGCAGCATATTGGCCTTTATCAGTATATTGGGGCTAGATGAGGCTTTGTGATTTAGGAGAGGGCACAATAGACCATCAATAATGATCCACCATTTATCAGCATTAACCGAACGCTTTAGAAAAGGATTAATTTTGTTGGAATTCAACAGCGATTCGCAGATGGAAATTCGATCACAAAGTTATTCGTTCGTAAACTCGTGTGGCACCCATACTTCTTTTTGTATTCAGCCTTATGTGTATTGTTTGGCTTCTGGGCAATCGAAATAGTTCTTACATATCGGTTGGATTCAACGACTTCCGTTATTTTACCTTCTTTACTTTTTTAAGTTCTAATCAGTTCTAGAGAAAGCTGCCGAATTGATACTGCTTGCTTGGATATATAATATATCCTTTCATTTAAAAATACACCTCTGCTAGGAGAAGCACTTTGCCTCTAGGTGGCCTCCAAACTCATAAATAGAATGTGATCTCTGTTCACCGACAGTGTGATACTGTTGAATTATGCATTCAGTTGGATTTATTGCCTTAAATTGCTATCCTAATTAATATTGACCACAATATTAAGACGGAACAACTACAACTTCGAACTTAGAATTGAAACATTCAACTTAGAGCAAATGTGTGACAATTTAATAATATCAAATATCTGAAGTTATTTTCATTTAAATGTTCTGTAATTTGAGTATTTTCCAGAACTTAGTCATAAGATCTCGTCAGGCTTTCTTACAGGTTTTCTATAGCGCTTGAAAAATCCACATCGTTCGGAGGAGTCTTGGTGCTAACTAAAGCTTGTTGGGGAAGTTGTAGTAGTATTACAATTTTCATATATGTATCATACATATCAGTAGTTTCGTATTGAAGCTTTTGTCAATTTCGACCCTCTGTCAACATAATAAAAAATTGCACAATATGTTAGCTTCGGAGTCTGAGAAGGGGCGGAAAGAAAACTAAGTATCCACTCCCAATGAGCAGTTGGAATGTTATTCGAAACGAAGTCTGCTGGAGGAAGCTGAAAAAAGTAAAGCCTAGGACTTTCCTATTAGTAAAAGTTAACAAGAATCTGATTTTGAGGCTTCAAACTGGAGTCGACTTGTGAAAATTGTAAAAGACTCCGCTTTGGATGTAATAAAAACCAATTAAAGTGTGATAGAATCTATAAAAAAGAAGAAGATGATATTAGTTTTTCTGAATACTTCTTAGCTCGAACGAGTTAGCCATATAGAAAGCAGGTTTAAATGAATTTATGGGTTTGAGACAACTTCCGAAAATATTCTTTAAGACTATATTTTTGGAAATTCAACACTTAGTACAAGTGGAATACTTCCTTAAGTGTCTGAGATTCTAAGCTCCTGTACACCTCTAGCTAGAGTTTTTGTGTTTAACCATATCCAATAGCATTTTTAGCAAAGTGGCTTAGTTTCAATGTTAAAGTTTCATTTACAATGGATAAACAGAGTCGCTTCAAATTGTCATTCGCAACTATCAACTTTCTGCAAGTTAATCAAACACAAAATGTAAAGAAGAAACATGTAGGTATGTTGATAAATCGGTCAATTAGGTAAGTCTTTGACCTTCGAGCAGCGCAGATCCGGGGGAGATGCGTGAGTATCAAAATACAAAGATCGCGGAAAAGTTCTCACACTATGTTTAGTCATATGCATGACTGTTTGATGTCAACAAACGCGTTTACCAACATACATACTTACTGTCAAATCAAGCGTTCACCCGAAACCGCGATCTTCTATGCACAAGGCACATAATATACCGGCATGTTAAACATGGTCACCAACTCAAGCTGGACCGGTCAAACCGGTTCGGACCAGACACGGCATGGTAAGGCAAGGCAAGAGCAGACAAGACAATCAGACGAAATTTCTCAACGCATAAATTAAGTCCAAGCGCCAGGAGAATAATCAACAACAATAACAGTGATCAAATGAAATGTACACATAAAACGCGCTAGAATGTCCTTTCGAGCTGACGCTGGCGCTGTGAAAGGACACATATGTGTGCCATCAGAGATACATATGTACATAATGTCTCACACGTAAAACACTAAGAAAAGGGTTTCCATTGCACTGTCTTATCAATATGCTACGGCGCGAGGGTCACTTCCCACAAAAGTTACGCCAGAAGCTAGAAACCGGTTCTGGCCAAAGGCTACTTTGGTAGCAGCAAAGCAAAGGCACACATACAGCGAGCATTAATGACGTTAATGAAGCCGAGAAGGTGAGCGAATGAACTTCTAGACAGCGTTAGGGGATAAGGACATGGCGACGAAGCAGAGGGGCATGCGCGCATATGTTTAGTAATATGAGTGAAGCGTAGAAATCAGCAACGAAATATTATTGATTCGATGGACAAATGTCAAAGTGGCAATCAAGCGGAAAATTTGTTTTGAATAATTTAGTCGGACAATGGCCTGTGGTAGGATTAAGTTCGGCAAGCAGCAAGCGCACACAGCTGGACGAAAGTGTCATAACTATACAGACACATATACCTGTATTGTTGTTTTTGTTTTATGCAAATGCTACGCGGACAGCGGCGACACACAAAAAGGCAAACATCCCTGTTACAAGGACACAAAAACCAAAGCGTCCAAGACATTACAACATCTATTTTTACAGAAGTTACAATAATTTGCGCACAGGTAACCTACTCTTGTAAGGATAGTTTAGCAGCGTGTGCAACCCTTAAGATTAGCGCTGCTTGTGTCTAGTCTAGCTTTAGCTTGGCCTCATTTGCATAGCCATTGCACTGCTACATATGTATGTATGACCGTCGTCCTCGTAACAAAATTAATGCCGCATCACCTTAGAAGATTTATAATCATCTTCTATGCGGAACTGGTTTTCCTTTCGGCGAGTGTCCTAGTTACCACGTTTACTTGGCGCGCCGCGACAGACCGTCGTACCAACAGACCCACAGACCAACCGACCGAACGATCGCCTATCTATCCAGCCGAATTGACCTTTTATCATCGCAAAACTTGACTGACCACTTTTGGCGTGAGAAATAAACTGTAAATAAATAGAAACTCAGTAGCAGTAGTAATTTACAGCTTCACCTTTAACTGCACTCCTTACCCCTACTATCGAAATCGGCTGCATTTTTGGTTGTAAGCGCTTCTTTCAGAGGCGCCCAGCTATCCAACATTCTAATGCAAATGAAGCATGCAATTATTAAAGATAATTTTTTATTTTTGTTTTTGCATTGTATTGCAGTTTCTGTTTCCATTTCTCTCACTCTCTCTTTTTATTAATATATACACACATATTTTGATATACTAATGTTCATTAAATCATATTTGCATATCAAATGGAATCTTTTCTGAATGTTACCTTCTAATTGTATTAGCATAAATACTTAAGAATTGCGTAAAGTCACGTTTCGGTGGCGCCTCAACGTAATTTTCCTTGCGTCAAATCCCAATGATGCTCACCGTAACCGCCCGTCGCATCAGCCCATACGATCTGCAATGAAATATGTTAAATTTCATTCAAAATTCACGTTAAGTGCTTGGTTGCGCTTTGTGCGCATGCGTAGAGAAAATTTGCATTTGCTCAAGTCACGCTTGAAATGTGTTTGCATACTGCATATAAGGTTGTGATTATTTAAGCGATTCAGCCCAAAAGTGAAGCACTCGTACTCACCTCACCGCGATGACGATTGCCATTGTTGTTGTTGTTTAGCGACTCGAAACGTTTCTCAAAGCGTTTTTGTGGTTGGAATTCAACATGCCCAAAACTCTGTTGTTGTGGATTCTTAAATCGCATGTATATATCACTAAGAGACGATAAAAATAATAACTGCGGTTAAAAGCATAGCAATAAATATTTTTTTACTAAAGTATTTTGTTTTGAAACGAATTTAATAAAATTAACGTTCTGAAAAGAATGTGTTTCACGCGCTTTGCTCAACTTAATCAGTCTTCTGTTCATAACACCATCACTCAACTTGAGACCCAGCATTAATTATTGGCAACTCGAACTAATGTATCAACGATTTGAAGCATTTTCGACCTGCCCAAGCGACATTGCTTCGCTCTATGGGGTCTTGAAAAGTTCCAAAAAGACCCGACGTTTTCGAGCCAAATTTTGTTAAGTGGTGGGGCCTATTTCTGACTCACTGAATATTTAACAAGCAAAATTGCCTCATTTAGGACGAAGAGCAACCTGAAGAGATTCCAGAGCTGCCATTTCATCCAGAAAAAACATCAGCTTGGTGTGGCTTGTGGGTCGGTGGAATCATCTTTCCCTTTTTCTTTTAAAATGAGGTCAGTGACAACGAAACCGTCCATTGCGACTGTTATCGCGCCATGATAACCGACTTTTTGTTGCCTGAAATTGAAGCTCGTGATGTCGTCAACATGTGGTTTCAACCAGACGACGCCATTTCCCACACGTCGCATCTATTCAATAGATTTATTGAGAGAACTCTTCGGTGAGCAGATAATTTCTAATTTTAGGCCAGTCGATTGGCCGCCAAGATCATGTGAAATCACACTTTTTCTTATGGGGATATATGTATAATGTCTATTGTCTGTGCACACAATCTCGCTTCGATTCAGGTCTTGGAACAAAACATGACGCGTATCATTTGCCAGATAATATAGAGAGATAATCTTAAAAAAATAAATTCCATAGAATGTTCTTTCAAATGATAATAAACACTTCCCATTAAATTTGAAGTTGCTGTGTGTTTTCTTTAAAAACGTATTGAATCTTGGTTGGGCGCACTTAATCACACTGCTAACACAACATTCGTCTACAATAATGTTGTCGACTTTAAAATATTTACCATTCAATATTGCACATAGGCCAGCGCTTCTTCCAATCGCTGAAACGTTTCTCAAACTCGAATTTAGGAATAACCTTAAGTACTTGCAGCGATTATCATCCATCTTGTAAAACGACCGCCCTTTAAGTTGTTTTTATTTTTGGATATTTGCCATCTCTATGTCTGGCGAATATGGAGGCAGAAGCCTATAGTCAAGCATTCACGATAATTTTCTTGTGAGACTATCTTTCATGATAACGGTTTATTTCGATAAATGGGTGGGATTCATCAAAATCTGACATACGACCCCATTGAAACCAATTAACACAATTTTTGACGGTCGTCCTCGAGGAAATTTTTCTTGCGACTGTAACGCCTGGTATATTGTATAAAAATTTAATTATCATTAGGGTTTTCACATGGGAACTGGAATAATAATACGAAGGTATAGGGTTTTGATTACTGATATGACTTTTATGTTTTCACAATTGCCTACCGATTCTGTGGTTTGCTTGTTAAAAGTTTGAAATAAAGCTTTTCAGTAACTAAGTACATTACGGCCATTTCTTTCAATTATTTAAGATTTAGGCAAAGTATAAACTAAGACTCTATCGCTTTAAATAACTTTTAATCTACTATATAGTTCGAAACTTTAAATTTATGTCAAAATCTTTAATTAACAGTGAACACTTACTGAAAAGATTGTGTCTGCTTAATTATTTTAGGTTGCTCTCTTTGCTCCTGCGAATTACGCACACTCTCTTGCGGTACTCGCTGTGTGCTTCTAGCGGTTGAGACAGCGCGGAGGGTATTTGTTTCTTTTAAATCATTTTGTGAAAGTTCAGCATTGTAGCTCGAATTCGTGTAGCGTCGCGGGCGCAAGTCCTGTTTATGTTCGTTCCCCAAGTGCAATACACGGTGAGTAAATGAAAACGGCGTTAAATACTCCGAATGCTGCTTGAGTTCTCGCTTGGCGGTGGCGACGGGCGGTTCGAACATTGTTAGTTGAGTATTCGGCGGAATAACTTGGAAGTAATTACCGAGATTACGATATTTGGCCACTTCAGGCGGTGTGGCCCGCACTGATGTCGCGTATTTTGGTTGACTGTAACCATATGTCGGCAACTGACCGTACAATGTCGTTGCATTGAGTGTTGCGATTTGATCGTTGAGATGCAACTGGTCATTGGTGTTGTTAGTACCCGAAAGACGGATGCGTGGATCGCGACGTGCGTGCGAGTATTGAGCGCCACAATGGTCATTCAACAATTGTAAGGTTAAAATTATAATATACAACATGTTTAAAGTTAAACACTTTTCACTTTCTAGGTTTTAACTATTTGTATCTGCGCAATTTCTTCGTTCCCAATTTGAAAGTCTTTAACCATTGACGGCGTATGAAAGCTTACAATGCTGAAATCTGGTTGACAGTCACATTTATAGCCACTGCCGTGCTGTGTAATCAAACCCTTTGAAGCGGAAGTTTTCTGAATGCCATAGAGGACCATTTAACCGTGGCACAGCGCACCACTAACATCTAACCCGATTTCTGCCATTTCTCTACCATAATGTATGTACATACAGACAGCTTTCTTGACACAATTCAGCGGAGTGTGAAATGACTGATGACGTATTCGACGTCTTTGAATTTGAAAAATAAAATGGAAAAGAGCAAGTCATTGACGACAGATTCCAATCAAAAGTTACGATGATTGTGCAATAGACAAGATACGATTATAATAACTGCACTGCTTTAGATTGAGGAGTGAGTGAAAATTAATGCATAAATAGAAAGATATTATTACAAATGTATATATTTTCGAACTCCTTTTTAGTAGTCTGTACTCTTGTAAATATGACTACATTATATTATCATATATTAGCAGAGTTGTTTAGATTATATTCCTATTAATAGGTGGACCAGTTCACATTAAGGAGATGATGATCATAGTTGTCGAATAAACGATAAAGTATACATATACCATAAATGACAAGCCTGAAGAGTGAGAGTCGGTTTAGCCATGCAGGTCTGTCTGTATATAGGCGCACCAGTCCCTAAGTTTTTGATATATCTATCTGAACCTTCGCACACGTCCTTTTCTCCAAGTCAAGTCTGTAACTGCTCATTTGTTGGAACTGCCGAGACCGAACCACTTCAGCATAGAGCTGCCATACAAACTGGCTTGTCAAAATCGAGTTCTTTAAATCGCCCACTATAACGTGTTCAAACTGACCGATTAAAGCCAAGATGAAGAACGAGAGACAATTTAAAGGGGTGCTCTCTTCATATGAATAGAGCTTATTAAAATCTCAAAATTTTTCCACTTGACTAACATGAAAATTTCAGAAGTCCAAATCCAAATTTTGTAAGAACGTATGGAATTTTCATAGATTTTTTATTATATACCATCTATGAAAATTCTATAAAGTCTTACTTAAAAATCCGAATATCTCAAGAAGTATTAATAATAGCGAGATATAGAAATTTCAAGATAAGAAATCACGATTGTCGTGTATTCTCAATGGAAAATTTTTACATGCCTTGGTGCAGTCCTTAATGTTTACGATAAGGGCTCAAATTTTCGAGGAATTTTTTTAGAGTATTTCCAAAGAAATTTCATGAGGGGATTGAAAAAAATGAATAGTTAAAAAAAAAACACTTTAATTTTCACCTATCTTAAATCATTCATTATTGGATAATATTTTACTGAATAGACTACACGTTGTGAAGAAAATAGCTGAGAGTGTACACGTAGACCGTGAAGGAAAAGAAAAAGTGTACGAAATACAGACTGTACAAGAACTGAAGCCGCTCGACCTTCCCAAATGACATCGCTTCGCTCTATGGGCTCTTGAAAAGTTCCAATACGTTTCAGAGTAAAATTTTTTTTAGCGATCAGGTCTATTTCTGGTTCAATGGGTATGTAAACAGCAAAATGATGTTTGAAATGGAAGCTCGTGATCTCGGCGACAATTGGCTTCAACAAAACGGAGCCACGTCTCACACGTCGCATCAATCAATGGATTAATTGAGAGAACACTTCGGTGAGCAGATAATTTCTCGTTTTAGGCCGGTCGATTGGCCACCAATATCATATGATATCACACCGTCAAACTTTTTTCTGTGGGGATATGTAAAGTCTAGAGTGTAAGCGCATAATTCCGCTTCGATTCACACCTTGGAGCAAAACATTGCGGATGTCACTCGCCAGTTACCAATCGAAATGCTCGAACGAGTCATCGATATCTCCAAAAATAAATGCCAAAGAATGTTCTTTCGAATGATAATATACTTTCTCCATTATATTTGAAGTTTGAGTTTTTTCCATAAAAAGTAGGAAATCTCGAAATGGAATTTCTATTTAATAATTATTATTATTTGATAATATTTGTATTTTGACGTTAAGAAATTATATAAACATGAAATTAGTTTGAGTGGTTCGCAATACTCAGGACATTTGACTTTCACATACATATGTACATATGCCAAGTAAACTGAAGTTAATATCTTCTTGTCAGCAACAAATCTTTACTATTCACGAAGTCTATGTTGCAGAAAGGCTAAACTTTTGGTTTAACTGAATAACATATATGTTTGTATGATGTACTTTATATATAGTATGTTCTTTCGTATACACAAATATTTATGTACATATTTCTAGAGCACGTCCACTGACCTTCAATAAAATTACAATCAAAAATCGTGATTTAACACTCTAAAAATACTCAACACTTTTAAACAGAAAATTCAAAGCTTCCCGAGTAGGCACTGCCAACATCACCAACAACACCTTTCACAATTAAACCTTAACTATAACTATACAAAGCATGACCTTGCCAACTGGGTGTGGAGTGGATATTTTGCGAACTCCAAAACAGCTGCGAATTTTTGGCAAGGAACTGGTTTGTGTTTCGGAAAAGCAAAAAAACAAATAAGAATTCGAGCAGAGCTGATTTGCATAAGTAACGTACGAGATTTTTTCAATGATTTTCAAAGACCAACAATTATGGCTACCATAAAATGAATGAATATTGCAAGGATATTGCAGGCAAGTACATACATAGATACAAACATAAGCACTTACAAATTCAAGGGAATTATGACCGTTAGGCCAACGGGTTAGTTTCGTATCAATATGCGGGCTTCGTGTGCTTTCGGCAGCAACTTCTCAAAGGCCAATGAAATGCCTACAAGCGAAAGGGTTGTTGACACGCTACTGAGTGCTGATTGGTTAAGGTTATGTCGGCATTAAGTGTGTTTGTATTGAAAGAAGTGCGAAGAGTTGTGGAAGTGGGTCATAAGGGTGGCAAGCTATTGTTAAGTTTTGTAGACGAAGAAGTGTGTAGAAGTTATGTACATGTAGATGTAGAAGAATGTAATTTCGTTTAGATACATATATGTATGTATAGTATATGTTTATACTTCTAACTTTCATTAATAAATAGAAAATTCGTTTGCACTTCAACCCTTAAGCAACCCTCTGCCCAACCATTATTTACATAGTAGCTACATACATATATGCATGCACATAAACATACACACACATATATGACAGTGTGTCACATCGCAGTTAGTTGGCTTCGCTGCTGACCTTGCGTCATATGCAACAGTCGCATTTGAAACTTGCAGAACGCTGAACGGAGCTACAAAATAGTCTACACGGTCATCGAAAGGCTTCAAATACGCATTAAAAATATTTTTCTAAAGTTTTCAATTATTTTTGAAATATTTTAAATTATTTTTGAAATATTTGAAAATATTTTTGAAATATTTAAAAATTATTTTTGAAATATTTAAAATTCATTTTTGACAAATTTAAAAACTAAGAAAATCTAAAAATACATTTTTGACATATTTAAAAATTATTTTTCAAACATTTAAGTTTTATAAATAACAATTAAAAAATAATAATAATAAACAGTAGTTCTAACTACTAAAAACCCAAGTGTTGTGTGCTCTAACAAGTAAGTGCTCGCTAAAAGAATTTTTTTTTTTTCAAATTTCACAATTCATTTTATTAATTTTTTTATTGCTTAAGATTAGTGCATAAATATGTAATTGCACCATATAGATATTTGTGTGTGTAAACTATTTGGATTATTGCTGCGCAAACACACACAAATACATAAAAATTAAAACAAAAACAATAACACAAAAATTTGTAATAACAATAATTTAAATATTATTAAGTTATTTAGTTTAAGCCCCGCTGCTGATGAGATGCGATGTCGAAATGACTGCTGTTGTTATTGTTTTTGTTGCAACAAATTACGTTCACAGTTAATATACTTTCCAATTGCAATTACGTATAGTAGAAATATCACATACGCCCTCGTGGCAAACTCGTGTGAGGGTAACCGAAACCTGCGTGGCATTTGCCACATACACGTGCGACATTTTATTACTTGCTACAACGCCTAATCATCCATATTAACATTATTCATGCGCATTTTGGCAAAGTCCTCGAATACGATATTGTCATCGTCATCCTGGTAGTAGCCCTTTACACCGCGATGCTGTTCGATCGACTTCATTTTCTTCATGGCATTCGAGCGCTTCTTCTCGACGGAACCTGAAGTGGGTGTACGTGTTTTTAAATAGTGCTATTGCTATCGTTTTTGTTTTGTTGTCTGACTTACCCGGTGCGGGCTGCAGCAGCTTGAAGGGCACATCCGTCTGCATTTCTCCTCCCAATGTACCGCAGTTCAGCTTAATACGCACCGAATATGAAATCACAATACCACAGGCATCGCCGGTAGATTTACCCTCCTGTACCAGAGTTGAGGAGGCCAAGTTCACATCCTCGTCCTTCAAATGGCCATCGAGTGCAATACCTTTGAAAAGTTTCAATAAATCATTGAAAAGCAATTATGTTTCAATCTTACAAAAAAAAAAAAAATTGGTGAATAATTTCTGAATTTGAGGTTTGTGACTTGACTAAAAAATTTAATATTGCCTCAAAATGTAGGCAATATATTTCACTGTTTTACTGAAAGCTTCCGAATGAGGAGACAATTTAGTTAAAATTTGTATCACTGCCAAACTGTATAACGGATTTTCCCTTAAAAATTACTATGTGGCTAAAATTTTTAATATTGCGCTAAAATACAACCGACGTTTTTTTAATTATAAACCGCAAGCTTCCAACAAATAATAAAGCTTTAGTGTTTGACATCCTCAGCGAATTTTCACTCACTCACCACTATTCGATCATCAACAATGTAATTACTCACCATGCCGATCCTTATTATTCGCTGCCAATGGAATCAAATAGAATGTCTTCGACAGATTCGCCCCC